TTTAGTTTTTGTGGCGTGTGTGTGTGTGTGTGTGTGTGTATATATATATATATATATATATATATATACAATTTTTTACTTTAGAAACGTATATTACTGTATTTTCATTTAAATACGACAAAGTCTGGTTCAGCTTTAGTGGCATAACTGGATTTTGACTAAATTTTGGCTGATGTAAAATAAGTTATGAAGCTGTTTGACAAATCTTCATTACATGAACACTTAGCTGGCCATAACCCTGATCTGAGTGATCTCACAAAGAAACTCAGTGTGCTCTGCTCTCATGCTCCAATGCCAGTCTCCAAGCTCTTTTAGCTTAAATGAATATCCATGTAATCAAATAGGGTTTGCTGATCATTTTGACTAACTTCTGCAACCCCATTTTCAGGAATATCTTCTCCCATCCCCCTTACCCCCTCTGTCAAAGCATGGCTCAGGAGACCAATCAGACGCAGGTGCCAATGCTTTGCACTATGGGATGCGGTTTCTATGGTAACCCCCGCACCAACGGCATGTGCTCGGTCTGCTACAAGGAACACCTGCAGAGACAACAGGGAGGGGGACGATCCAGCCCCCCGGGAGAGAAAGGTAGGAAGATGGGAGAGACATTATGGGGGGGTCCTGGATATGAGTTCGTTAGGTGGAAAAGTACAACAAGTTCATTTAGGTAATCACTTAAAAACTCTACAGGCATAAGGATCTGGATTTGCTAAAAGGGGTTGGAGAACAGAGGTAGCAGTAGCTACCTGCACTGTGGCATCAGAAAGCAAGAGAGTGACATCTCCACCTGTTTCACAATAACTCAAAACACACATGATCATGGTAGACGACCTCAGGCAATGAATGGCATATAAGATACTTAGAAAGACAAGGACAGTCTTCATTTTCAGGGCTAAAACAACTGGTTCAGTGTTGTCTGTGCTATCAGACTGTTCGCTCCCCACACAGCAGCTACATCACCAGCAGGATCACCAGGACCAGCTGCTGTGACTTTGGAGAGCACAACATCAGAACCCAGTACAGAGGTTACAGGAACCCCTCCTGAGGAACAAACGACCAGGTATGACTGATTATTTGTTCAGCACAGTAATGTTCCAAAGAGCAATGAAACAGTCAATTGTTGTGGAGTACTTATGATGTATTTCATCTAGTAAAACAACAAATATAATCTACATTTGCTGGGATATGTTTTTAAGAAGCTGAACAAGCTAAATTTATAAAATAATATGAAAACTTGGACCCCTGAAATTGAATACGGGGATTCTAACTACATTTGACATTTAAGTTGATGTGACTGTTTAACTCAGTAGTGAGAAGATCAGTACATTATGTTCTGTGTTGTCATTAGTCCCCTCAATTAATACTAGTACAAGAAGAAGAAGCTTTATTTTATTGTCATTGTAACATTGTGACACGTACAATGAAATTTTGTTTGGAGACGAGGGCCCCGGGCCACTGCCTACATACGCGCCGCCATCATGAGCAACTTGGGGGGTTCAGTGTCTTGCCCAAGGACACTTTGACACGTGGACTGCAGGCACCAAGATCTGAACCCTCAACCTTCTGGTTGGGAGACAACTACTCTACCCACCGCACCACTGTCACCCCACAACAACAACAACAATCATTGGTTCCCAGTGTGATGAAATGTCGTATATATCACAAGGGATTTGTACCTGATTTGTCAGTATAGTGTAGTAAAACAGGGTGGGTGAAAAGTAACTAGGCAAAGCTGGCAAAACCACAAAACTAGGACAACCTGAAGGAGAGTCCAAAAACAAGAGCCTGATCTATAAGATTTGCTTTCATTTTCCTATGTAATAAAGTGCATGTACAATTAGTTTCACTAAATTTGTATTAGAAATATCTTTACTATCAATTTTTAATGCCTAGTTACTTTTCACCCACCCTGTAGATAATTGTATACTGTATGCCTGCACTGTATGTGCTGTAGGCCTTACCTGTTGCTTCTGTCTTGATTGATGTTGATCATACTTGACACTCAAAGGCAAATATTTGTGGTGTTTTAATAGTTGATAAAAATCCTACTTTATTGTTTGGATATGAACAAAAATATTTTAGGTTGTCAGAAGTGAAGAGGGGTATTACTAACATTTGCAGTCTGACACTATACTCATACAGTCTCGGTAATTTACTACCAAATGCATTAGTTGTCTTAATCTTTTAATTAGAAAATAATACTCATCCTTCTAAAATTAATTATTTCTGTTGTTGTACTGTCAGTCCCAGTTCTCCCAGCCCAGTAACTCAACAGATGACCACTATGAGCATCTCCCAGGAATCGGGAACTGTAGACGCTGATCGAGCTGAGACTGAGGAGGGAGAAGAGGAGGGTACTTCTAACAGCTCAGGTACATATCACAGAAAGTCCTTTTTCAGATCAGTCCTTGACCCACTTGCACTTCACTATGAATTGTCACATGGCCAGAGTCATGTGGACACTACTTACTTAGAAGGAGCAAGGTATCAAACGGGTAAACATTACTGCCCTCAGCCATGAGCAAGAAACAGCCTTCACCATGAATAACTTCCTGAATGCTCATCTTCAGACTGACAGCATGCACCCTTGCTCTACAGAAGTCGTGGCATCCCCAAATCAAAAAATTTTACACTTTGTAATGCTTGCTTTGGGTCGTTGTTAGGTGTAGGTGTTTTGTCTTTTAGCATGAAACATTTGATGTCCTTGTATTTGAAGCATATATTGGAAATAATGGATTTTGTGACCGCTGTGCTTGTTTGTTCTTTGCACCAGAGCCAGTGGGGGAAGCAGCACAGGTTTCATCTGATGGAGAACAAACCCCTGATAAAAACAAGAAAAAGAACCGCTGCTTTTCTTGTCGAAAGAAAGTGGGCCTTACTGGTAAGGAAGTTAGGAATTTTATGGAGTATGCAGTGGGTACGGAAAGTATTCAGACCCCCTTAAATTTTTCACTCTTTGTTATATTGCAGCCATATGCTAAAATCATTTAAGTTCATTTTTTTTCCTCATTAATGTACACACAGCACCCCATATTGACAGAAAAACACAGAATTTTT